TCATGAATCTAAACTGAGAACACAATTTGTCTCTTCTTCTCATAGAGATCCGAAGAAGGAAAAGCTCTAAATCCTCTATTTCTTCTTCTTTGATTCAATGGATTCTCTAAGTACTCAGAAAACTAAATCAAGAAAGATAAAGAGGATTGCGAAGAAGTCTCGTGTTCAGATAATCTTGGATCTGTTTTTCCGAGCGATCGAGATAGTCGTGGTTTTGGTTACAGTAGCTAAGCTTTGTAATGAGCTCGTTGTCACGTTCCAAGACTCTGGTGTTGCGGAGGTTATTCTCGCTAACCGTAGTCTTGCGTTTGTTGTCGGAAACGCGATTGTCATCGCTCTGATCGCTAAATCCGGCGTTTTCTTTAATCAAGAAATTGATCCAAAGTGCAAAAGAAACGATCTTTACGATGAGTTTGTTCGAGAGAGCTCAAATAGAAACAGAGGAAAACATAGTGAAGCAGAGAACGAGGCTACACAGAGCATAACCGAAACCAGAACAAAACAGAGTGAAGTACAGAAAGAGAAACAGAGCGTAACTGAGAAGATAGAAAAGCAGAGCATTTCCGAGAAGACGGAGAAACATAGCGTAACTGAGAAGAAGACAAAACAGAGCAAACCAGAGAAGATGACAAAACAGAACGTCGTTGAGATAACTGTGAAGAAGACAGAGAAACAGAGTTTGATTGAGAAGAAGCAAAGTCAGAGTTACCGGAGAAGCAAGTCGGAGAATCTGGAGAGTTTGGAGAAGAGTTCCTGTGGAAGATTAAGGAGATCGGAGACGGATGTATCTTCTGAAATATTTGATTTCGACGATGAACTCCGATACAAGATCGAGTCTTTCATTGCGAGGCAGAGGAGGAATCAAAATGATGATTAGTTTTTGTATAATTTAGACTACAAAAAAATAAGCAAAAAAAAAAGAGCCATGCAAATAACATTCACGTACGTATATATATCATTAAGTGTTTGTTATATTATATAGGGGTAAAACTATTTTAAATCCCTGGCATAAGTATTTGTTTTGTCTTTTTCTTTTGTTTTATTTCTTTGTAATTTTTTTGCTATGATCTTTTTATAGGATATTCAACTAATTTTGGGTTGTGATCTTCAAATACTAATTTTGGAGGTATAATATTGCATGTTTTTTTAGTCCAATGTAGATAGAAGTATATCATTATTTTTAGATTTCTAGAAAACCATATATGGAACCAAATATTTTTTCTCAAAAAACAAAAATAATTCCAAGAATAAATTTATTTTACTTTTTTTTTCCTAAAAAGAATAAATTTATTTAATTTACTCAGTTTGGCATATAATTTAATCCAGATTAGTTTCATTGGGACTACAAAAAATGAATTTTCTTCAATTATTATAGCTAAAATATGTTGTCGATTATTTTCTTCAATTATTTTCTTCAATTTTCTTCAATTACTTACAAAAATGGCTTGTCCAATATAAGATTAAGAGATTATAGCTAAAATATGTTGAGAAAAAAAAAACACTAAATTTTATGAAACATTTCAAGAAAACGTAAAACCATGTCAATGCTCTCTCTCTCTGAGATTTTTGGCGTTTGTAGATTTTGTGTTGGTTCAAAACTTGTAATTGTATATTCCATTATATAAAAAAGGGACTTTTTTTTTTTTTTTTGGAACTTTGCTTCCTTATCAGATTACAAAAAGGAGTTTTTTTTGATAAAACAGGGAAAAAAGGAACTTGTTGTTAATTTCCTCTATAGAAAGGCCGAGTCGTTCTCTTGGAGCTCTGCCTCGTGAAGATGATACAAACCGCAAATTGTGGTGTGAGTCGAATCGAAGAGATAGTTTGTCAAGACAGGATTAGTGCTTTGCCCGAAGATTTGCTCGTAATGATCTTGGATCTTGTCCCGACAAAAGACGCAGTGGCCACCATGTTTCTGTCCAAACGATGGTTCTCTCTTTGGACGATGAAACAGAGACTTGAGTACAAAGACGGCGAAGAGA